GGGCGGTGGCGAGCGGGTCGGATCGGATCGGCACGGACCGGACCCACACGGGTCGGCACGGCACTGCATGGGTTGGCATAGCATAGCCTGGCATGGCATGGCAGGGCTTGGCTTGGCTTGACTGGGCACAGCACGGCTCGGCACAGCACAGCATGGCACAGCCTGGCTGTGGCACAGCTCGGCTCAGCCCTGTTCAGCACAGCCATGGCACAGCTTGGCATGGCACAATTCAGCTCAGCTCATGGCGCGGCTCCACACACAATGGCACAGCACCGCTCTGTGCTACTCAGCTCAGCTTGGTTTGGCATGGCATGGCACAGCTCGGCTCGGCTCAGGGACCTGCGTTGAGCTGCTTGGCTTGGCTTAGCACAGCCCAGCCACCACTCAGTCCGGCTCAGCCCAGCATGGCGTGACATGGGGGCTGGCACAGTTCAGTTCAGCACAGCACGGCACAACCCTGCACAATTTGGGATGGCCCTTGGGTTGGCTGGCCCAGCGTGGCTCGGCCCGGCATGGTTCAGTGCAGCTCAGCCAGGCTGACACTGGCTTGGCTCAGCTCAGCATGGCACGACATGGGGCTGGCACAGTTCAGTCCGGTACAGCATGGCACGGGCAGGGGCCTGGCCTGGTTTGGCTCCACTTGGCTGAGTGCAGTTCAGCTCGGGTTGACATGGACAGGCAGAGCTGGCATGGTTTGGCTTGGCACAGCATGGCCTGGCCTGGCATGGTTCAGCACAGCACAACCTGGTTTGGACCAGCACAGCATGGTGCCACCAGGGACCAGCACCATTAGGGCCAGCTCGGCACAGTTCAGCCTGGCACGGCTCAGCTCAGCTTGCCACGGCTCGGCCCAGCATGGCGGCACGGTGTGGCCGGCAGTTTGGCGGCACTCACGCAGGTGCGAGGGGGTTCCTGCTCGGGTGGCAGTGGGGTGATGCAGCAGAAGGCTCCCTGCGGCACCCCACCCTGGCAATCACGCTGGTGCCCTGAGCCCTGCTGCCTGCGGGTGAGCACGCGCTGCCGGCTCCTGTCTGGCCTGCCCATTCCGGCCCCCACCCTGTCCTGCTGGGCACCCCGGGGCGTGTGTGGCAGTATGGCCATGCTTCTCCTCTGCCTTTCCCTCGCCAGGCCCAGGAGGGGCTGCTGTGCCCTTTCAGGGAAACTGAGGCAGGGGGGCGGCAGCTGGGGGCGGTGGGAGTAGATGGGCGCGGGTTCCCGGGGGAGCCCGGGTGTCCCGCTCCTCCCCTTCCTGCCCGGGGCCCCGGCTCTTACTCATCTCCTTCCCAGACAGCGCAGCCAGTCCGGAAAGCTCTGCCCTGCCAGCAACGCCTGCAGCCCTGGCTGCCTGCAGGCTGGGCAGGCGCCGGGTGGCGGGGCGCAAGGGGTCG